GACAGACGAGCCAGCTGAGAGAGAATAAAACCTGTGTGTCAACCAGAGGTAGCTCAACCAGCCGAGCTAACGTTAGCAGCAGCTCGGCTCAGTCCGTTAGTATGATATTGTTCGAGTAAAGAGGAACTGATTGACATCTGAAGTACCTTCTCCTTGTAGGACTGGAGCTCTCTCTCCAGCAGCTGTCTCTCCTGCGTCCAGACCGCCTGCTGCTGCAGCTTCTCTCTCTCCTGCTGCACCGCCGCATCCTGCAGCCGCCGCACCTGAAAGCACCACAACATCTGACGAGGAGCTACAAACGGCGTCTGAACTATTTCAAGTCAAAGCTTCAAAGACGGAGAGACGCAGCGACACGGAAACTCAAACTCTTCCTAACTTCTCATTATGAATGTCTTCAGATTACACCGAACAAATGTAAAGTTGATCCGATCATTAATGTCAGAGCAGTTTCTTTAGGGGGCGCTGTCGAGCCATTTCACCACGCCCATGTGGGACACGTGAATGTCCTGAGTTTCAGAGCTTTCTACACCTACAATTGTCATTTACTGCGTCTTTCACTTTGCTCACCGAAGCTCCCTCCTCCTCCTGCTCCTTGGAGACCGTTGCCAGGCGCTCCTGCAGCATCCGCACAGACTCCTGGTCTCCACGGAGACGGGCGCTCAGCTCTGCGTTGTCGTTGCTGAGCTGCAAGTTCCTGCTGCTCAGGTCCAGAACCTCCTCACGATATCTGGAGTTCTGCGGGAGGAGGAGGAGGAGGAGAAACGTTGAACAGTCTTTTGTCTTCACCACAGAGGTCAAAGGTCAAAGGATGAAATTATTCTTGCTAAACGGCCCTTCATCAGGACAGTTTCTCACCTCTTTGTGGAGCCTCTCCTCCTCTTCTCTGCTCCTGTCGTGCTCTCTGTCCAGCTCCTCCAGTTTCCTCCTGACAGAAGGAGCAGGTTTATTTAGTTTACTGTCTGACTGTACTCATCAATTAAATACAAATAAAAGCCATTAAAAAGATTCCTGATAAAAGAAGCAGCAGGTAAAAATAAATGAGGTTGTTATGGTAGCTTTTCTTGTGGGTTTCCTTAGATAACATGTCAGAAGATAATCACTGATTATCTGGCTTTAGATCTATCGCTAGGCAACATCATCCATGATCTGTGTGTGAATGTGTAATGTTCCCATCCTGCTGAGGGCTGAATGAATGATTAATGATTATAGGCTGATCGATCAGAACCATCACAACATTCTGACAATAAAAGACCTGCACATTAAATATTTATTGAATATTGAAACAAGGTTCTTCACCTCTTCTTGGCGACATCGTCCTCCAGGTTCTGGACTTCCTGCTGCAGGACGCTGAGTCGCTCCTGAAGAGCTCCGTTCTCCAATCGAACCTCCTCCAGCTGAGTCCTGCAGCCCACAAACCAACAGGAGTCAGAGACATCCCGCAGCTCAAACCACCAGCTTCAGTCAGCTCAGAGCTAAAATGAGTCTGCAGAAGTTACTGTGCTGATTGGAATAGATTACTGATGATTACTAATAATGATTCAGGAATCTGAAGGCCTCAGTCTGCTTCAAACTCAATACTTGTTGGATTTTATAATGACGTCTGAAACTGTTTCCATGACTGAGAAACTAGTTTATTAATTCATTTCCAGATATTTGTAGTATGTGCAGCCAAAGACACAGAGCGAGCAACCGATTTCACCATTTTATTTTATATTAAATATTATATATAAATTAATAGTCACAATAATTAACTCTTAATGAAGCCCTTTGATTCTTCAGAGCGATGGACTCTTACAGACTAAAGGAATATAAATAAAGGAGGAATGGACACAGACTGGCATGAACTTAATGACCACCTCAAAGGTTGGGAGTCAGCAGCTGATCTGATCCATCAATCAATATGTCCATATTGATCTGCTCAAACGCTTTAACAGGTTTTATACATACAAAGAACTTCTATAAAATCCACAACAGGCTTCTAAAGGAGACTGGCGTCTACTAGCAACCCTAGCCCAGAGAAGCTGACTGCAATGACGCCAATGGTGGTGAAGACAACAACTTCCATGATCCCCAGCTGCTTCACCTACAGCTGACTACAGCTTTATACTGAACCAATATGTTAATGGTCTTTTCTAGTTCCAGTTCCTTTGAAGCAAACTGAGGCCTTAAATCTGTTCTTTCATCTGGTCGAAGATAAAGTTTGTACTAAAATGAAAACAAGCTGCATCAACGGAGGATTTAAATCAACATTTGAGTTTAAAGAGAAACCAACAAGACGGCGTGACACAGAAACACGGAGCTGCAGTGATGAACAGTCTCATGCGGTTGTCATTTGGTTAGCGATGAGGTGAAGAGTTAAAAAGAGTCTGCAGCAGTGCATTGTGGGCGACAGACTGATCAGCGTTTCATTCTGTTACCTGCAGTTAGTCATTTAAATACTCAGATGGAGGTTAGTCATCATTCGGAACAGGTTTTGGATCCGAGTCGGTCTCATGCTCCACAAACCTGTGTGGACTCCCCGGGTCCATCACCTCCTCCAGGGCCAGGACCAGCTTCTCCAGCTCCATCAGCTGCTGCACCATCACCCTCTTCTCCTGTTCAAAGTCCTCCTGCGCCATCCTTAGCTGGTTCTGGGAGTCCTGCAGGGCCCGCTGTAGCTGGTTCTGGGAGTCCTGCAGGGCCTGCTGTAGCTGGAGGACCTGTTGTCTGGCCAGGTTCAGGTCTCCGTCCTTCGCTTCCAGCCGGTTGGTCAGCTGCTCTACGTTGCTGTGATGCTTATCTGAGGAGGCTTTGGTGTGACGTAAGCGATTGGCGGCGTCCGCCACCTCGGCCCGGAGCCGATCCACCTCGCTGGTTTTGGCGTTGAGCTGCCTCCTGAGGTCCAGGACCAGGTCTGCGGTGTCGTTGAGCTGGGAGCTGAGCTCTCTGAGATGGTCTCTGAGCGTGGTGATCTCCTCCTCCATCTCTACGATCTGGGTGGAGAGTTGGTCGGCCAGCCGGGTGTAGCTCCCGTTCTCCTGGCTCAGGCGACAGACCTCCTCCTGCTCATCATCCAGACTGGCCCGGAGCTGCGAGCTCCTGGTCTGCTCTTGCTTCAGAGCCTCCTGCAGACCCGCCTCAGCGCTCCTTCTCTTGTCTAACTCCTCAGAGACACCATCCAGCTCCAGCTGCAGGGTGTCCACAGCCATGGCCTGGTCCTTCAGGTCCTGGATCAGCCTGTCGCGGTCGGTCTTCAGCGAGTCCAGCTCAGCGTTGAGTCTGGACAGATATTCAGTTTTGTTCCTCATGGCCTCCTGTAGACTCTCCAGCTCGGCCCTCAGGGCGCTGGTGGTCTGCTCTCTAGCTCTGAGCTGCGCCTGCTGCTGGACGAAGGCGTTGGACAGGCGGCTGCAGTTGTCGACCACTACCTCCCGGTCCTGCAGGATGCTGTCGGACGCAGCCCGGAGGTTTCCCAGCTCCTCTTTCAGCTGGGTCACCTGAACCAGGAGCTGCTCCTCTTCGGTCTTCACCAGCTGCAGCTCCTCCTCTACGGAGCGCTTCTCTGAGGCGAGCCGTTTATTTAAAACCTCATGAGACTCCAGGAAGGTGATGCTCTCCTCCAGCTGAGTGCAGGCCTCCTCCAGTCTGGCCTCCAGCTCACAACAACGCCCACAAGAAGCTTTAAGATCGTCCTCTAACTGACCACAGCGCTCTCTGAGCTCCTCTAAACTGGCCTCTGATTGGCTGATCTGCAGATGGGAGTTCTGTATGGTCTCCTGTAAACTGAAGACCTGCTCCTTCAGCTGACGGACCTCCTCCTCATGCTGCTCCTCCATCCTCTTCTTCTCTGAGGAGAACTGACTGCAGATCCTGGCCTGCTCCTCCCCAGCTCTCTCCTCGCACTGCAGCTTCTCCTGCTCCGATTGGGCGAGCCGGTTCTCCCAGGATCCCCTCTGCTCCTGCAGCCGCTGGCGCTCCTGGTGGAGCTGGTGGAGGAGGCGGCGCTGACCCTCAGCGTGCTGCAGCTTCATCTGAGAGAGCTGCTGCTCCGTTTCCTCCCTGAATGCATACAGTGGATGGATCTACTTACACCGTGTGAGTGAAACCACCAGAGTTTGAGACCGTCGGACTTCCTGTTAAGTGATGAAACTGACACCAGAATCATCCACCGGTGTTTCTCCAATTGGTTTTATTGGACGGTGAAGATGTTTCTCATATTTCTTTTAGAATGGATTTCACCGCTGGAAAGATTGAGAGATTCTACATGGCCAAACAAATCTGAGAGAAACGACTTACTCAAAATGTATAAAACTACAGTATCCAGAATGCACTGGGCCGCAACGGACCAAAGAACTACAGCTGGCGGGTGCAGGGTCAGGGTACTTTGTGGCCAACAGATAACCCAAACTCTAAATAAGTGTTTTGTTTACTGGAGATTTTAATCGTAACAGTTGATCAGAAGGGACAAACACCACCAGTGTTGACTGAATCTGTAAGAGTTAAAGTGTTTCTTTATTTAGAGGAAGCTCTTTCTGATCATCTATGATCTCTTCAGAGCCACAGTAATTTCAGTAACTTCACTACACAGAACACAGAGTTTAGCTCTGCGTCAGAGAGGAAGTCTGAAATTCAGTTTAAGTTTAAATGTTGTGATTTTCTGTTTGTACCTTTCTATTAATATTTTTAAGAACTCACATCTTTTGTATAAGTTAATGTGCCCCTGTGCATGCTGGGTATTAAACCTGAGAATCTAGAACAGCTGTGACGCCGTCGGTACGTTCCCGTAGAGGTCACCACCCACCTGACCACCATCACTTCCTGGTCCATCTTCAGCTTCAGCTCGGCCTCCAGCTGATCCTTCTCAGCACTCAGCCTCTGGACCAGGTTCCCGATCTCTCTGGCAAAGTTCTGCTCCAGCTCCGCCCGCTCCCGCTGCATTCTGGGAAAACACATGAATGTGATTCAAATACAGACGTGGATAGAAACACTGAAGCCTGAATGTAGCCTAATATTTCATTATATAGCGCTATAATAAGTTTCTCTGACTCGTAGCATTGTCGTCTTCCTCACCTGCGCTCCTGCTCGTTGCTCCACCCTCCTCCTCCTCCTCCTCCTCCTCCATGTTGGATCTGAGTCTGCAGTTTGTCCAGCGTCTCCTTCAGCTGCTTCACCTGCTGCTCCGCCTGAGCTTTCTGCTCCTCCAGCTCACTGATCTCCAGCTGACGGACGGACGAGACACGACCAAACAAACAGGAAGAATTTTAAATATTAGTGAAAACTTTAACTTTATTTTATCCGTTTATATCCAGTTTACATTTTACCAGCTGGGGAAAGTGGTGTCTGATTGCTAATTAACGTAGCAAAATACAGCCAGCGAGACTCCCGGGCTGATCTGGCCTGCTTCCTGTTTGCACTGTGGGGCAGTCTGTGGTTTTACCTTGAAGGCCTGAGAGATGTCTTTACGTTCGACCTCCATACTCTGTCTCATCAGATCCAGACTGCGTTCGTAGTAGTTCACCTGGAGGAGGAAGAGGAGGGTGTTTATCCTGATAATGGAACAAACTGCTGATACAGCAGATATAGTGGCTAGCTAACAGAGTGTTTACACTCTTTATATTCTCTCTCTTTAATAGTTTTTTCTTTAATAGAGTGTTTTCTTACTTTTAGACTAGTCGAGTAGTCTAAAAGTAAACGTCTGTTTAATCAACAGTGACTTTGGACACACTCAGGTGAGACTAATGTGCGTTACCTGCGTCTCGATCTGGATGTGCAGCTGCTGCAGCTCCTGGTTGTGTTTCTGCTCCAGCTGCTCCAGAGCCAGTTCAGTCTGGATACTGACAGCGGGACCAGAGACGCTGTCCAATGAGCACAGAGCTGAGACAGAGCAGAGACCTTCATCACTCACAAAACTGTTCAATCTTGAACAGTTGAATCTTATTTGAAAAGTGTCCTGAGATAACTTCTGTTATGAATTGGCGCTATACAAATAAAATTGAATTGAATCTAAGTCCTGATATTCACAATCTGCTGGATGATATTGATCAGTATACACTGTATCTTTATGGATGATATTGATCAGTATACACTGTATCTTTATGGATGATATTGATCAGTATACACTGTATCTTTATGGATGATATTGATCAGTATACACTGTATCTGTATGGATGATATTGATCAGTATACACTGTATCTTTATGGATGATATTGATCAGTATACACTGTATCATTATGGATGATATTGATCCTGTATTGACAGTCAGACTGTGGACATATGACGGCCTTTAGCTCGTGTTTCTAGAGTTACGTGTTGTTACGAACACGTTAGGAATTGTTAAAATGTGATATTTCTTAAAGGGAGTTTGGTGCAGGGAGCTTTTAGTTGGATTCAAACTGCTGATATGGATCATTGTTAACGTTTAGTCTCCACTACAGAAACACTAGCTAACTGCTGAAGGCTGATCAGGTTGATTGATGCTTTAATAATGGGAGTATTGATTAGTGATCAGGATGATCAGTTAGTTGTACCCAGTAAAAAGTATAAATAGAACTAAAATTATCCTGCTGCAGTTCATCATATGATTGACAGCTGTATCACACCCAGACAGAGTGTGTGTGTGTGTGTGTGTGTGTGTGTGTGTGTGTGTGTGTGTGTGTGTGTGTGTGCGAGTGTGCGAGTGTGCGTGTGTGCGTGCAGGTTGTGTTTCTCACCTGTTTTATCTGCTGGCTGCAGTCTCTTCCTGACCAGAGGAGACGAGCTGCGCTTCATGTCCGACTCGTCTGAACAGAAAACACACAAACACTGTAAGACACACAGACACACACACACACACACACACACACACACACACACACACACACACACACACAGACACACAGACACACAGACACACACACACACACACACACACACACACACACACACACAGTTCCTGGAATAACAACATTAAACTGAGAGACTCACTGTGAGACATGATGAGATTGAAACCAACAGACTCACAACCTGGGAGTGAGTGTGAGGGTGTGTGTGTGTGTGTGTGTGTGTGTGTGTGTGTGTGTGTGTGTGGTGGGGGGGGGGGGGGGTGTGTCCATCTGTATACCTGAGCAGATCAAACCTGTTTAACAGATACTTCCTGTTAAAATCACACTGCAGAGTTTCAACTGACAGCTGATCTTTTTCTTTAAATCAAAAACACCGTCTAACTCTCCGAGGTCGAGTGTTTCCCTTTAAAAGGTTCAATGTGACATTTAAAACTTTAATACAGCAGCTAACAGCTGTTAGCTGTTAACTGTCTAACTACTGTCTAACTGTCTAACTATATAGTGGAGTCATGGTGTCCTGAGCAGACTCCCTCCGCCTATCGCAGCCTCTCTGGGTTGTAAAATGAGTGTTTTTGTCTCTGGAGTCTGGTGGAGAGTGATAGTGATATTACGGCTGTTTGTGGTTAAACCAAAGGTCTATCTCTGTAGGGATCCTTTCCATAATGCTGTCAGACACTGACAATAACGCTGTTGTTGTTGTTGTTGTTGTGTTACCAGAGTCGGACTCGGCACTGCCGGAGCGTTGTTCGGTCCAGCTCAGAGCGTCAGCGGTGGTGCCGTCTCCTGCAGATCGTCTGGACTTCCTGTCGCTCCTCTGACTTTTCAGCAGCTCCAACTCTGAGCTCAGCTCATCATTTCTGTCCCGCAGCTCCTGAACGCATCACACACACACACTTTCATGATACACATACTGTACCTGAAGCTACCTGCATGCAGACATCAGTTTTATGTAGCTCTGTAGCTAGGTAACCAGCTAATCTATGTCAGTCATTAGTTAGCTCGGCTTTCTATCTGTATTCAGTGTTTTGGTGAAACTGGATCAGATTTTAATGGAGAATATATTTCCTGGTTTTCCCTCTGAGAGTTTCCTGACACAAACGTTATAAAATATATTCACTGACAACCTTTTTAACCACAAGAGACTAAAACTAAATAAAAAACAAATAGTGTAAGACTGCAGTTCCTTTACCAGCCACTGGTGTCACTGTTAACAGGTTAATGACTCCAGCAGTATTACATATTCAGCTACCAGCTAACTGATTTATGCGTTTTGTTGTTCTCACCTTGACTTTCTGTTGAGCCAACGAGGCGTTCAGGTGCACAAACAAAAACAGACATTAAAACACTCAACATGCTTGTGTTGCTACCTACATGGAGCTGACTGGATTTCTACTGAGGAAATCTAAAGTCCTCTAACAGACTGAAAGCTCAAAGGTTGCTCTTAGTTTTATAATCTTTGGACAACTCAAACAACATGAAGGTTCATTATAGTTCAGTTCTTTAAAAGGGACATAAATATAGAATAATTCCAGGCCTGCCGGTGGTACCAGAACCATAGCTTGAGAACCAGTATCAGATAAATAAGGATTTTCAGACTGAAGATTCAGAGCACAATGTGTCCCTTAAAGCTTGTCTTTGGTTTAATCACACACACACACACACACACACACACACACACACACACACACACACACACACACACACACACACACACACACACACACACACACACACACACACACACAGTCTCTTACCCGGCACTGCAGTTCATACTCTTTGACGATTTGGGAGAATCGCTCCTCGTGACTCAGACCGGCGCCCGTCGGGTCCAAGCTGCCAAACTGTCAAACACACGTCATCGGTTTAATGAAACCGCCAATCAGCCGATCAAAAGTCATCTTTAGTGGCAGCGAAGAGGACGAGACGAAGAATGAGATGCAGTCAGAGAGGAAACCTCCATCAATTATTTATCGGCTACAAGGAGTTAGCTTACACACTGTGTGTTCCTGGACTTCTATCTTTGTGAGGACAAACGTTACACCGCCATGAGGACATTTTACTGTATTTAAGGGTTGGACTGAGCTTTAAATTAGTAAATCCATCCGTATAGATGAGAGCAGAGGGTGTTTGAACCTTAATAACTCCCATAAACTGAGCTGACCTACCTTCTAATAATGAACCAACAGAAAGTAAATATGAGCTTTAATAAGGTCGCTGTATCTGTCATCAATAACTGGTTCTGTGTTTCAATATTTAACGACGCTGATTATTGAGCAATAGAATATTCTTATTTTTAATACAACGGTGTGCTGCTCTGGTCTATCCAGTGTCCCACCAACTGTATCCCCGGGAGGAGATATTGATCAGTGTTAGAGACGCGCTGAAGGACGAGCTGACGGGTTAAAGTGAGTGGTGTTGTGGACCTTGTCGTGCAGCAGCTGGTCCAGATCTCTCTGCTGTCTGTTCACTGAGCTCTCTGCTTCAGTCAGCTTCAGCTTCACAACAGTCAGCTCCTCCTCCAGACGACTGCTCTCCTGAACACACAGATACACAACACAGTTTGTTTCTATGACAACAGTAATCAATGTTGCTTTTTTAAATATTTCATTTTCATTGTTTTGTCCCCCCAGAGTCGGGGTCTGTCCGAGGTTTCTGCCTCTCCAAGGTCTTGCTCATGGTGGAACTGTTGGGTCTCTGTAAATAATGCTATAAGGAGTTCGGTGTAGACCTGCTCTATAAAGTGTCCTGAGATAACTTCTGTTATATACAAATAAAGTTAAATATAGACTGTAATGTAATAATCTGTGTCTGTAAAGCAGCTCTGAAGTGTCACAGATTCTCCTACCGACAGTCGAATTTCAAACTAAACATACACCCAGGTTCAGATCAACCTGGGGGTCGGGATCCCCACTAGGGGGCAGAAGGCCTTCTTGATCTTAAGGCTTGTAAGAAAACTTCAAACATATAGATAGTTGGCTGATATCTCAGCATGTGGCTCACCTCTGTGCAGACAGGTAAAAGTAAACTGCTGAGTAGATTGTCTGATACAGAAGAAACTGTGGTTGATTAGTACTGTTGTTTACGGTTAAAGTTTTATTCCATATTTTACCGTATAAATACAAGTTTGAGTGTTAGAGCCTGTGCAGGTGAGCGATGTGTACGCACCTGAGTGGCGCTGCAGAGCTCCTCCTGTAGCTCCGCCTCCTGCGCTCTGAGCAGCCGCAGCTCGTCCTGCAGCTCGCTGCGCTCTCTGTCCGCCTGCTGCAGCAGCACCTCGCTCTCCTGCTCCGACTGACTGCGCAGAGCCGCCAGCCTGTCGCGGAAGTCCTGCTCCAGGTCCCTGCCGTGGTTTCATTGTTACAGTGTGATCAATACTAATTTATAAAGCTAAACTTCATTAATCCAATCAGTTTAATATGTAAAGGTCCAGTCTGAGTAACATATGAACAGATTCTGTCCACAGAAACATTACAGAGCTTTTAATCAGATACAGGAGGAGTTTAAAAGATTCTGTAGATGCAGAAACTGTAGTGAGAGCCGTATATATGTTGCGGTATAATGTTTAAATTAACAATCACAGCTGTTACCATTGATACTAATAAAGGCTCTGTTCCATTTAGTGTAACATTCATTTGGCCACAGGATAAAATAACAGTTTCCAGGATATTTCCTCATTTTAATCAATTTCCAGCTGTTTCCATGACTGGAAAACTAGACACACCCTGATGTACAATTGTGTTTGTATTTTAACTGTTTATGAAATGTATATGAAATAACTAGAATATAATTGAAATAAATAATAAACTAGTGGACCTCAGGGACAGTTTGAGACGTAAACAGTATCACAGGGGGTCCGATCAGCTTAATCACCACACACTGACAACAATGCAGCAGTGATCAATAAGTATGATGCCTACTATCTTTAAATATGAGCTACAGTAACGTCTCTATAGAAACCCATTATTATATTGACTCCTGATGAGTTGGATCATATGAGGATGACCACTAACGGCTGCAGTTTCACTTCTCAAGGATCAATAATAATAATCAATAATCAATAACGGAGCTCCAGTATAAACCGGTCTGACCTGATCCGGCTCTGGTTCAGCGTCTCCATGCTGGCGTGGCGGTCGTCCACCTCTCGGACCAGCTGCAGGTTCCTCTGATCAGCCTGATCCAGGTCGGCCTTCACCTTGTCCCGCTCCCTGCAAGCCTGCTCCGCCACCACCCTGACAGACAGACAGAGTGAGAGACAGACAGAGAGACAGAGAGACACACAGACAGACAGTATCAGCTAACTGGACTCAGTTTGTAATAATGACTCAACACTTTCAGAGTGGAGCTGCCCCCTGCTGGACATTAGAGAGAGTGCAGGAGACTTTTATTTTGAAGTGCTGACAGGATGAGAGCAGCGTTCATTCACTGCACAGATTCTTTATAATCTGGATCCTCCTGCTCTGCTCTATAATCTGGATCCTCCTGCTCTGCTCTATAATCCGGATCCTCCTGCTCTGCTCTATAATCTGGATCCTCCTGCTCTGCTTTCATTCTGTGAAAACGGGAGAAAACCTACTGCAGGTGTTGGATCTCATTCTTGTAGGAGATGAGCGCCGCCTGGTGGATGCCGTTCCCGCTGACCAGCAGCTCGTTGTCCAGAGCCAGAGTCAGGTCCGCCAGACTGAGACGCTCCTCCAGAGGGAAGTCCAGAGTCTGCAGGGACCAAACCATTGAGCCCTTTATTCCCAGTTCATCCTGTTTGCTACTCGATGGTGGTTTAATAAGTTAAGTGTTTCCTGCTCTGCTCCTCTTTAATTTAAAGCCTCCTGTTGTTGTTATCTGGTCATTCATTATTATTATAAAGAAATAATTGATGGAATACAGATTTATGAGCAGGTTTCAGACACTTTAAGGACCAATTCAACTAAAACACTGAGCAATCTAACCTGTTAACATTTAGTCATCTGATCAAACTCCTGATCACAATGACTGATCACAGATACGTTGGTCTGCACTCACCTGCAGGATGTCCCGGCTGTTCCTGATGCCCTCCTCGGTCCAGAGGGCGATGACACGCTCGGGGCTGCTGCATCCTGAGCCGTCGTCCAGCCAGCTGAGGACTCTCTGACCCACCGTGGCCGTAAGCAGGGAGGGCGAGGTGGAGCGAGCCGAGCGCTCCTCTGAGACTGCCTGAGACTGCATGGACGACAAGAAACCAGAGGCAGGCGTTAGTCCACGTTCAGACCGGAGAGGGAAAGGAACAAGTTTCTAATGAACACATTCCTCGGGGTCCTAATAAACGCCTGCTGTCACAGTGTGACATTTAATCTGGATTAGCCTCCTTCCACTCAGAGCCACGTGGACCTGAGGACAAACATCCCAGAAACAGCAGCCTGGAACAGAAACTCCATCGGCTAATGCTGATGTCAGCTGCTCCATCAGGCTAATGTCAACGTTAGCTGCTGAATTAGAGGGTTAGAAAGGTAAGATTCCTAAAATCACCTGAGAGTAACAGGAAGTTCTGTCTGTCTTCACCCACGTTAACAACCCACAGCCTGAGATCAGCCCTGACGTGCAGTACATGATGCTCTCCACCTGTCTGAACTACCTGCTACCTGTCCTCCTGCAGCACAATGGCCGAGTCCCTCCCACCTGATTGGACTGATGACTGCCAGCTGCAGCGGAGCCGTCTGATTGGACTAGCTGCAGCGGAGCCGTCTGATTGGACCAGCTGCAGCGGAGCCGTCTGATTGGACCAGCTGCAGCGAGAAGGTGGTGCAGCATTCAGGAGCTCCTCGGAAACTCAAACGTTATCTACTTTTTATTGATAAATGAGTGCAGTGTATTATGTCTTGGTCTCACAGGCCCATCACATTATTGTTATGTATTGTTGTGTAGTGTTGGTTAGCCCATATGTTTCTGTTTTAGTGAAGTTTTAAATAAGAAATTAAGATCACAAATATCTTATTGTTACCAAACCCCAAACCACTGATTTTGTTTGAGTGATAAAGTTGTTTTTGATGCGATCTTAAAGGGTTAGAAAAGTATTTTTAACTTTGAGTATAGTCGTTGATTATGTGTGTGTATCAGTGAGCGTCTGACCCGGAGTGGCGCCCTCTGCAGGTCAGCTGATCGTACGGGGGTGGAGCAGGAGACGGGGGCGGAGCCACGCAGAACCTTCTGGAAGTCCCTGATGCTGACTCTGCCGTCAAGGTCGGCGTCCAGCTTCCTGAGCAGCACGTCCAGCTGCTGTTTGAGCGTTGACAGCTGTTACAGATCACAATATAATACATATTGGACTTCCTGCTGCAGGTAGTGGGCGGGGTCTCACCTCTGTGTTTAGCTGCTGCAGACCCAGGTGATCACATACTGCCGCCAGGACGCCTCCACCTCCTCCAACAACATCCCCCAGCTCCACCTCCTCCTTCTCCTGCTGCTGAGGGCCTGAACAACACACTGGAAAAGATTAACATTAAAATAAACAGAAGAAGAAGACAACAACAACAAAGACGCTGACGAAGAAGAAGAAGAAGGGTCTTTTAAAACGAGCATTAACAACTAAATCTGGAGTCATTATCTGTAATAATATCTAAACCAGTGTAAAACTAAAGTCATACATCATTAAAGCTGCAAGCAGTTTTATTTGTATAACAGAAGTTATCTCAGGACACTTTTCAAATAGAGCAGGTCTAGACCGAACTCTTTAACATTAATTACAGAGACCCAACAGTACCACCATGAGCAAGACCTTGGAGACAAGGGCAAGGAAAAACTTCATTTTAAAAACAGACCCTCGCAGTCTGTGCACATCACGCAAATCAGACGTTGATTTCAGCACAAGACTTACTTCCTGTTTCCAGTAGGTGGCGTTATGTACACATAGAAATGTGCTGCCAACTTCCTGGTGTTTTGTTTTTTTTGTATGTCTGGATGTGACTGCTGTTTAGGTGGCACTGTCGCCATCTTGCTGACTACTTTTCTTGCTGCGTTTCATAAGTTTTGGAGACTGTTGCAGGCTCTAAATATGTGATGTGTCTCAGAGGAAGAGCGGGTTTATAAGTTTATAAGTCAGTTTACCATTTAATAAAGTGTAGAGAGTACCTTTAGACTGAAAGTCTCGCTGGATGTTCTCTTTCTGACTTCCTGCCTCCTCATCAGACTTCAGGCTCTGCAGAGAAAACATGGAGGTCAGCAACAGTCTGCAGTTCACTGTGTGTGTGTGTGTGTGTGTGTGTGTGTGTGTGTGTGTGTGTGTGTGTGTGTGTCTGTGTGTGTGTGTTAACCAGCCCGTTAAACTAGTCTGAACTAACAGAGTGTTATGTAAAGAGTGTGTGCAGTGATGCCAATGAACAGCGATCAGAAGGAATTCCTGAGCAGCCATTACTTCTGTTAGACTGCACATATTGTGTGTGTGTGTGTGTGTGTGTGTGTGTGTGTGTGTGTGTGTGTGTGTGTGTGTGTGTGTGTGTGTGTGTGTGTGTGTGTGTCTGTGTGTGTGTGTCTGTGTGTGTGCTAAGTGTATATAGACCCCGGTTGTCACGCTAAAGAGCTTAGCATGTAAAACCCAACCCTGTGTCAGGACATGTGTGGGAAACTGAACCTCTGTCCCACCCGAGTTCACCAGGAGCCGGTCTCTACTAAACCTGGTCCTCACTGCTAAAGCTTGCTCAACTGTTATTGGACAGAGTAAAAACGGGGCGGGGCTTAAAAGGTTTAAATTGTTGTTTCCACACAGCAGCATGTAATGTACAATATATGTTTGTGTGCGTGTGTAACATCAGATTTCTTTTATCGGCCTCTAAAAACCCAGCTGATCTTTCTGTACTTCATCCTGTCCGATTGCAGACGGGCAGATCATCGTCTCACAGCACTGTCACACTCACTCATGTAGGCTGTGTTGTACTGGCTGTGTGCTCGCTGTGTGCTCGCTGTGTGCTCGCTGTGTGCTCGGTGATGTAAGAAGGCTGTTGTGAAAAATTCAGCAGCAGCGGATGAATTATTAAGCTGTCAGTGTTTGAGAGTTAGCTGCAGCAGCATCCAGCACAGTTAGGCTACATCTGTCACACTGTGTTCACCAGCTAGCATCAGGACAGACCACACACACTGTCCTGAAGTCAGTATGTGTTTGTCTATCGTTTGAAATGTTTTAATACCAAGACAATACACAAGGTTCATGTTCAGGTTCAAACTGGTTTGCACCCAACAGAAGGAAGCAGCCAGATTGTCCAAAATTAAAGATTTACAATGTAAAGTCATCTTGAGCAAATATGTGATTGGCCACGCCCACTTGCACCGATCAATATTGCAGCTATGAGAAGCTTTGTGAAATTCTGTTCTGTTCTTCAGGTACGCATCTAGCTAGCTAATCTAAATCAATTGTTAGCTTGCTAATTATTCAACATAGATTAGCCTAGCATATAGCATATCTAAGTACAGGAGAAGTTTACAGATGTTCTGATCGAGGCTTACTCACCAGTCATTGGAGCACAGAGCTACACTCAGGTGTAAAGGATTATCGATGAGTGGGTATATAGCTCAATAAAGGAGAATAAATATTCAGAGCAGAGGACCTGGAGTCTACATTCCTGAGAACAGTCATGGTTACACAACATTGTTGAATATTTAACACTGATGTTCATTCATGGAGGCTGTGTGTCCTCTGGGACGCTCACACGTGAAGGTTTAATACTTTTAGTACGCAGCTCTGTTTGCCACATGCTTTTAACAAAGGTGGCTTACGTTCGGGGCTAACGGTCTTGCATAAGGACCCACAGTCAAAAGTCTCCAGAATAAAAATCTTAATGTGAATTCAGGAGTGTGTTTCCTGCTCAAAGCCCCCCTCCAGACATGTATTAGGACCATAGACTGTATCAGCTCAGATGAACCAGCTACCAGATGAAGAAGAACAACGCTCAACATGTTGAAGATGGTGACAAGAGCAGCTGCAGAGGTCAGCGCTATAGATACAGGACATAGGTCAGCAATATAGATACTGGGCAGATGTCAATAGTGTAGATACAGGGCATAGGTCAGCGCTGTACATACAGGGCAGACGGTGTTTCTCTGCTTAAACTCTCTGACTGATAGAGCGTGACGCTGCTGGGTTATAGGTTCTAAATGTGTTATTTCAATGTGTCAGATTCATATTAAAGTGTTCAGAGACTCTGCTCTTCATGATGAAGAAGAAGAGGTGGAGTCTGTATAAAAGCTGCAGTGAAGCAGTTTCAGTATGTTTGGTCTGGTTTAAAGAACATGAATCCAGCTGCTGCAGTGAAGTGAGTTTGGAAATCAGCACAAAAAGCAGCCGAGAAGTGAAAACTGTCCCAAATAAACAGAGTGACGCATCTTTGATCCGCAGCCAGACCAGCACAGAGCGTCTGCCAGCAGCCACATTCCTCACAATCCCACTTCCTGAAAAACCTCCAACGCCCCCAAAACCACCAAACCTCCCCCAGCCGGCTCCTCCCTCCCACCTCCTCCCCCCTCAGGTATTCACAGACTCGACTGCAGCAGAATCGCAGCAGCACTTCTGGATATTTGAGATGAACCCCACCCAGCCGGCACAAAAACACACAATGAGCTTCATTCACACAGGGAGACAAGTGTGTGTGCTCTTGGTGAGTCTATAAACACTCGTTCACATTATGGTCTTCCATCGGAGCCTCAGAGTCTCAGCAGCAGAGGTCAACAAGTGGAATAAGCTCTGGCTCGTAGGCTGCGTTCACACCGCAGACACAAGTGGCCCAAATCAGATGTTTCTGTGCTCATATGTGACAGTGTGAACAGCTACAGATCTCATTTAATCTGATCTCTTTCACCACATATCAGAGTGGTCCATTGGGGTTGGTGAGGAAGGGTAGTGTGTAATGTCTCGTGGCTATTTACACATTGTAACAGTTGGGAAACATCCCTACACATTTCAGCCTTTAATGCATTCATCAGGGGAAATCAGCCGAATATCTGAACTCACTGGAGACTTTATTGAGCTGAAAGTCAGAGCAGTCAGAGATCCAGGAGGAAGGAGGAGGGAGAGTGCAGGTGATGGGTACAAGCAGGTACTGAGATTAAACTTTATCCTGCTGTACAAAGTAATAAAGTAAACTGTTGAGCCTAAATCACAGCAGGAGGAATTCCCCTTTTTTAATTCAGAGAGAGGAGGCCGATCTTCTTCATGTACGTAAATAACATTTTGTCCGTCGTCAACTGTTGTTGCTGTAACTACATTTCTTCTGATACAACTTCCAGCAAGGACATCTGAAGAAGCTAATCGCTGATAGGCTGCACAAGTGTGTCGCTCTCACTCGCACTGAAGACCGTTGTGGTCAATGTATATATAAATGTCTGTGTTGCAACAATCCTCTGATACTGTTACGGTGACAAGGAGCAGAGTTTGAGGTTTTAGTGTTTCTGCGACTGTCGGACGGATGGAGGGTGTCACTGAGAAACTTCTCATCAACTAACGGTTGAACTTTTTAAAGCACTTCCTTCTGTTGTGCCTCAGATATTTCCATCAGTTCTTAGCTTTGACTTTATTGTTAACACACAAACAAACAACAGGTCTGACTCTTCAAACAGCTTTTGGCTTGTACACAACATTAGAAATCATTATTATAGACCAATAATTGATCAGCCCTGATAATTATTGTGAATCCATAAAGATTATTTTTCTGTGTTCTGGTATAAACTGTATAAACAATGCATATTTCCTTTTCTTTCTGCTTTCTTTCATCATTAATTTACTTTTTTTTTAATCTTCAAATATTTTCTCATGATTAAACATTAATTAAACACTATATCGTTACAGTCCTATGATCCAAAATCCATACACTGAATTATCCAGCAAGTTCTACAAAGATCAACTTTAAAAGTCAAACCATGCTATTAAATTGATTGATTGACATTTATCAACTATTAAAGTGTGAAATATGAAATCATTTCCACCCTGCTAACATCGTTCCGTCCATGTTTGTCCAACTGCAGAAGAAGGCGGTAAAAGTTCTTTAACAGAAGAGACGTTTAGAGGAATGTCTTTTTTGACGAGGACATGAACCGGCTGTCTCACCTCAACGCTCTCCAGAGACGTCGATCGCCTCAGTTTGGCTCTTCGAACGCCGACCGGCGACGAGTCTGTGGCCTCGGGTCTGGACGGCGGCGAGTCCTCCGAGTCAGCGGTGTCGGGCTGACTGTCGGGACGGGAGCGACGGCCGTAACGCTTCGCTCCCTTCACGAACTTTGGCTTCACCTCCTCCGGAACAACTGGAGAGACAGACAGACAGACAGACAGACAGACAGACAGACAGACAGACGGGTTTGTATGTAGGTCAGAGGAGCTGCAGAGTCACTGTAGAGACTCAGCCAAGAAACAAGAAGAAAATTAAAGGCTGGAGCCAGAGTGTGTCACACAGGAATCCTCTGCACCAGAACCAGGACTTTAAACTAACTGAGGCCAGCATGCTAACTAAAATACTGTTCTGGGTCTGCAGGAGCCAAAGACAGCAGGAGACTCAAATCCACACATTTTTAACATTTCTTTTGTTGTACATTGATAAAGTCAGTTTGGACATTTAATGCACTTATTTTTTAATATTTGTGTCTTTGTAGTTTCTGCATGTTATATACAGTAAGCAGTATTCACAGTATCCATATACCAATACACTGCGTAGTGTATTCCCATTTATTACTGTTACACATCCACATATACGCTGCCTTAAAGCTGCAGTGTGTCACATTAATATAATATCCACAGGTATGTTTCATTAGTGTTTAATCAGCTGATAATAAGAATCATTGTGTGTTTGTTACCTTAGAACGAGACGTTTGTATCTACAGAGGCAGCAGCTCCTCTTCTGGTGGACCGCCATGTTACGGTTTCATCTACTACTTTGATTTACTATCACTTTTCAATGCCAGGTTGTCGAATATAGACGCGAGTGGTATTCAGTTAGTTGCAATCTACAACTTCACCACCAGATTTCATTAAATCCTACAAACTGGTCCTTTAAAATCAATATTCATAAATCACTGACAGAACGAATGTTTCCCTGAACGCACCAAACAGACCCGCTGATTTAAACCACTAAACACGCTGAATAAAGCAGTTCCACCTTAAACACGCTGAATAAAGCAGTTCCACCTTAAACACGCTGAATAAAGCAGTTCCACCTTAAACACGCTGAATAAAGCAGTTCCACCTTAAACACAGTGAATAAAGCAGTTCCACCTTAAACACACTGAATAAAGCAGTTCCACCTTAACAATCACTGAATAAAGCAGTTCCACCTTAAACACACTGAATAAAGCAGTTCCACCTTAAACACAGTGAATAAAGCAGTTCCACCTTAACAATCACTGCTTCTCCCACGCTGTTGGACAGACAGAGGACGTCCCGGAGGGGCTGCGAGCCGAGCTGCTGCTAACGTTAGCTCAGCTTGTTTCTCTGATGAGATCCAGACATTACCTTCCCTAGAGTGTTTTCAGTGGAACATACCATAATAAGTATCAGGGACAGTTCCTAATCAAAGACTCTGGATGGAGGATATTGATCAGCCTGCTGAGTCTCACCTGGCTCCAGGTAGCTGCTGTCATCCTCCGACGTGCTGAAGTCCAGAGAGCGAGACAGAACGGCCACGAAGCCTTCTTTAAACTCCTGGAAGTTCACCTGGAGGTCAAAGGTCAAATACAGGCCACTGTGTCAGTGTGTGTATCAGTGTGTGTGTGTGTGTACAGGTTCTGTATCTCTGTCAGTGTGTGTGTGTGTGTGTGTGTGTGTGTGTGTGTGTGTGTACAGGTTGTGTATCAGTGTGTGTGTGTATCAGTGTGTGTGTGTGTGTGTGTGTCTGTATGTGTGTGTACACAGGTTGTGTATCAGTGTGTGTGTGTGTGTCTGTGTCTGTGTATCAGTGTGTGTGTCTCTGTCAGTGTGTGTGTGTGTGTGTGTGTGTGTGTGTGTGTACAGGTTGTGTATCAGTGTGTGTGTGTGTGTGTGTGTGTGTGTGTGTACAGGTTGTGTATCAGTGTGTGTGTGTGTGTGTGTGTGTGTGTGTGTGTCAGTGTGTGTGTGTGTACACAGGTTGTGTATCAGTGTGTGTGTGTGTGTGTGTGTGTGTGTGTGTGTGTGTGTGTGTGTGTGTGTGTGTCTGTGTGTGTGTGTGTGTGTGTGTGTGTGTACACAGGTTGTGTATCAGTATGTGTGTGTGTGTGTGTGTGTGTGTGTGTGTGTACCCTGCCGTAGGTGTGCTCTCCCAGCAGTGTGTCCAGCAGTAGCGGCAGGTGAGCGTCCAGCTGCAGTTTGCGGCAGAGCTCCGTCAGCTCCTCTCGGTCCAGGAAGCCGGTGGCCGTCGTGTCGCAGCTGTCGAACTCGGCCTTCAGCTGGGCGACGTATCGACTGTGCTCCGCCTCCTCCATCACTATGCATCACACTGCAACACCTGTATCAGCAACACCTGTATCATCAACAACACCTGTATCATCAACAGCTGTATCATCAACAACACCTGTATCATCAACAACACCTGTATCATCAACAACACCTGTATCATCAACAACACCTGTATCATTAACACCTGTATCAACAACACCTGTATCATCAACAACACCTGTATCAACAACACCTGTATCATCAACAACACCTGTATCAACAACACCTGTATCAACAACACCTGTATCATCAACAACACCTGTATCATTAACACCTGTATCATTAACACCTGTATCAACAACACCTGTATCATCAGCAACACCTGTATCATCAACACCTGTGTCAACAACACCTGTATCATCAACAGCTGTATCGACACCTGCATCAACACCTGTATCATCAACAACTGTATCAACACCTGCATCATCAACAGCTGTATCAACAACACCTGTATCAGCAACATCTGTATCACACTGCAACACCTGTATTAACAACACCTGTATCATCAACACCTGTGTCAACAACACCTGTATCATCAACACCTGTATCATCAACAGCTGTATCATCAACAACACCTGTATCATTAACACCTGTATCAACAACACCTGTATCATCAGCAACACCTGTATCAACAACACCTGTATCATCAGCAACACCTGTATCATCAACACCTGTATCAACAACACCTGTATCATCAGCAACACCTGCATCAGCAACACCTGTATCATCAGCAACACCTGTATCAGCAACAGCTGTATCATCAACAATACCTGTATCAACAACACCTGTATCATCAGCAACACCTGTATCAACAACACCTGTATCATCAGCAACACCTGTATCAACAACACCTGTATCAGCAACATCTGTATCACACTGCAACACCTGTATTAACAACACCTGTATCATCAACACCTGTGTCAACAACACCTGTATCATCAACAGCTGTATCGACAACACCTGTATCAGCAACACCTGTATCATCAACACCTGTATCAGCAACACCTGCATCATCAACACCTGTATCAACACCTGTATCATCAACACCTGCATCATCAACACCTGTATCAACAACACCTGTATCATCAACACCTGTATCAACACCTGCATCATCAACACCTGTATCAACACCTGTATCATCAACACCTGTATCAACACCTGTATCAACAACACCTGTATCATCAACACCTGTATCATCAACACCTGTATCATCAACACCTGTATCAACACCTGCATCATCAACACCTGTATCAACACCTGTATCATCAACACCTGTATCAACACCTGTATCAACAACACCTGCATCATCAACACCTGTATCAACACCTGTATCATCAACACCTGTATCAACACCTGTATCAACAACACCTGTATCATCAACACCTGTATCAACACCTGCATCATCAACACCTGTATCAACACCTGTATCATCAACACCTGTATCATCAACACCTGTATCATCAACACCTGTATCATCAACAGCACCATCCTGGAAATATATATATATCTTAAACATAAATATAAATATAAACAATGTGTTCTCAGGTAAAAAGGATTATTTTCACCATCAGTATCACCAATACGGGTTATTGATAATCACAATCAGCTGTGTGATCAATAGTCTGTAGTGAGGTAACTCACTGCCTCCTGTTTCACCATCTTCATCACCATCTTCATCATCAACGAGGCAGTAAAGAAAGCTCAGACTAACACTGGACTGTCTAACTTTATATTTACATATATATATTCAATGCTAACCCTTATTAGCGTTAAGCTAAGGACACCACTGCTGTACTGCATCACAGTAATTATTATTAAACAATTCATTATTAATAATAAATAGAATTAAATAATAATAAAAACTTTTATTGGTATTTATTGGAACAAATTCTGGCAGCCAAACAAACACTGTAAAATGTCATTATCTATAATTCAAATAGTTTTTAGCTTTAATTTTACATTAAATGTAATTAAAGATATTTAGATATAAAGATATATTTTATGATCTGTAAATACAGGTGAACTCTGCTATAACACAAATAATCAGACTTTTACAGCAGAGTGCTGTTATTATTGGATTGTTATTATTTTAATGTGAATGTTAAAAGTTATAGAACTGTAATAAAAGTCATTATCTGTGAGATTACAGTAATTATTGCTGTTTACACTGATAACAACTGTATTTGGACAGTTTACCAATGCTTATACACTGATAAACAACATTTATTCTACTTCCATCATTATACAACATATCTGTTACTAATACATTAAAATTACACAACTAATACTTTATTTACTGTTAATGTCACTGATTTAATATAATGTTAGAAATGTAATTAAATAAACAATTAATATCTGAAACCAGATTATAGATCTGTAAATGTATTTTTTTATTAAAATAAATATCTTTAAATAATAAATAAATAAATATTTTAAATAATAAATAAATGAATATCTTTAAATAATAAATGAATAAATAAATATCTTTAAATAATAAATAAATAAACATTTAAATAATAAATACATAAACATTTAAATAATACAAAATAAATAAATATCTTTAAATAATAAAAAATAAATAAATATCTTTAAATAATAAATGAATAAATAAATATCTTTAAATAATAAATGAATATATAAATATCTTTAAATAATAAATGAATAAATAAATATCTTTAAATAATAAATAGATAAATATTTTAAATAATAAATAAATAAATATCTTTAAATAATAAAAAAATAAAAAAATATCTTTAAATAATAAATGAATAAATATCTTTAAATAATAAATAGATAAATAAATATCTTTAAATAATAAATAGATAAATATTTTAAATAATAAATAAATAAATATCTTTAAATAATAAATGAATAAATAAATATCTTTAAATAATAAATGAATAAATAAATATCTTTAAATAATAAATAGATAAATATTTTAAATAATAAATAAATAAATATCTTTAAATAATAAATGAATAAATAAATATCTTTAAATAATAAATGAATAAATAAATATCTTTAAATAATAAACAAATAAATATCTTTAAATAATAAATAAATAAATATCTTTAAATAATAAATAAATATTTAAATAATAAATGAATAAATAAATATCTTTAAATAATAAATAAATAAATATTTTAAATAATAAATAAATGAATATCTTTAAATAATAAATGAATAAATAAATATCTTTAAATAATGAATAAATAAACATTTAAATAATAAATAAATAAATATCTTTAAATAATAAATAAATAAACATTTAAATAATAAATAAATAAATAAATATCTTTAAATAATAAATAAATAAATAAATATCTTTAAATAATAAATAAATAAATATATATATAACATCATTACTGTACGGGTACAGTAACAGTAAACCGGGTACCGGGTACCGGTAACGTCTCCGGTGAGTCTCGCGAGCTGATGATGACGCTTCACCATGGGAACGGAGCCGCGCGAGCCGCAGGAACAAAAGGCTCGCGCGGCTCAAACACGTTAAACACATTGAACCGGATATTATCTCCGGACAATGTTTCACACGACCGTTAAACTCTGCTACTAACGGAAAGTCTGTCCGGTAACTGACGGTTGGTAACGGTAACTGATACACAGAGTGAGGTACCGTTAAAGTTCGGGGGGTTCTTACCGCGGGAAAAGTCCTCCTCCTCCTCCTCCGGTCCTCTCCGGTAAAACTTCACGTTTCCTCCATGAATGTGTTCCAGGAGCTCCGGTCAGTCCGCCGTTAAAACACCGACATGAACTGAGAGTAACGGAGCAGAGAGGCACCGACCGACAACCGCCACCGGAAACTACCGGAAATACACAGAGCGGTACTTCCGGTCAGAACTTTCGAAATAAAACACTAGAGGATAGACAGACAGACAGATATCCAGACAGACAGACAGATAGATATACAGTGAGACAGACAGACAGACAGATATACAGACAGACAGATAGACAGTGAGACAGACAGACAGATATACAGACACACAGATAGACAGTGAGACAGACAGATAGATAGACAGACAGACAGACAGATAGATAGACAGACAGATATACAGACAGATAGATAGACAGACAGACAGACAGACAGATAGATAGACAGACAGATAGATAGACAGACAGACAGATATACAGACAGATAGATAGACAGACAGACAGATATACAGACAGATAGATATACAGACAGATAGACAGACAGATATACAGACAGATAGACAGACTGACAGACAGATATACAGACAGATAGACAGACATACAGATATACAGACAGACAGATATACAGACAGACAGACAGACAGATATACAGACAGATAGATAGACAGACAGACAGACAGACAGATATACAGACAGATAGATAGACAGACAGACAGATATACAGACAGATAGATAGACAGACAGACAGATATACAGACAGATAGATAGACAGACAGACAGACAGACAGACAGACAGATAGATAGATAGACAGACAGACAGATAGACAGACAGACAGACAGATATACAGACAGATAGATAGACAGACAGACAGACAGATATACAGACAGACAGACAGACAGATAGATAGACAGACAGACAGACAGATAGATAGACAGACAGACAGACAGATAGACAGATAGATTGATACTTTCACTTTGTGAGCTCGTCGTGTCGCAGCTTCTTCTTCTGTCCATGTGAAGGTTAGTAAGAGACACTTTTCACTGTTTGTTCATCTTGTTAGTTTAGTTCAGTAGAAAGAGCAGAAAACTCTACTAACAGTCAACTGAGAACCAACATGGAGGAAGAGTTTCCTCCATCTTACTGTCAGTGTGTCACTGTTCAAAGTAATCAGAGTACTCACTGACAGTACTCAGAGTACTCACTGTATGATTTCTGTCTGTCTTTATGAGCTCACCTTATCAATGTAGTTGAAGTATGTAAAGTGAAAGTAGTCAGTGTACAGAATGGCCTCTGTCAGTGTTGTATTATTATATTAGTGGATGATTATTATTGATGCATTAACATGTAATCACTACTTTAATGTTGGAGTTGCTGCAGGTGGAGCCAATATGAACTACTTCAAATACTTTTGGCTGCTTGAATGTAAAATAATGAATTCTATTTTATAAACTGATCCCATGTTTGAAAAGTAAGCAGGAAGTAAAGCTGTCAGATAAATGCAGCTCCATGAGGCCATCTAGTGGACTGATAGTAGAAGTAGAGCAGCTGATGGCAGCTTTCTGCTCTCATTCTTCCTCAACACTGACCAATGAGAACCAGCAGCATCTCCTCTGGCCAATAACAAACCACTATTGATCCATGTATTGATTAGTTTGCAATGTGTGACAGTGATGAGAAAAGGCCATCAGTAGTTCCCAGAGTTCACAGTCATGTTTTCTAACTGCTTCTTTAGTCTGAGCAACAGTCCAACAAGCCAAAGGGATTCAACTGACACTGAGAGGAAACAGAGAGAAGCAGCCAATCAGTGGAGAAGCAGCTGATAGTTTTACAGCAGAAATGATGTAAATCAGTGGTTCCCAACCTGAGGGTCGGGACCCCCACTAGTGGTCACCATAGCTTCATGGGGGGTCTGTAGGTCGGCCTATATCTCAGCATCTGGTTCACTTCTGTGAAGAAAAGTCAATGTAAAGTAAACTGTCTAATAGATCAATGACCAAACATCAGGGAAGAGATAAGCATATAAGTATTTATGATAAAAACAATGATAAAAGATACATAACACAGACAAACTGTATAAAAACTTCCAGAATTCATCAGAATCAACTTCAACTTCTTGCAGTTACTGAGTTCAATATTTGGGTTGATTGTACAGATTTGGATATAATATGAAATATGTATAAAATATGTCCCTCAGTCAGGGGTCGTCAGTTTACTCAGTGATAGAAAAAGGTTGGGAACCACTGATGTAAAGGATGAATGAGTGATGATGAGTTCTCAGTGCTGATCAGTGATTGGACTGATGCTTTCAGCTCTGCTCTCAGTGTTTCCTCTACAGACGAAGGTAGAAAGTCTCTGGGAGCTGATGTGGATGTGAATTCAGCAGCAGCTGCCAAGGTAACAGGATTGATTTTGGATTATTGGACTAGCTGCCACTGCATGCTCTGACTGGATATAGTAGACTTGGAAAAAGAGCAACATTTCAACTGTTGAGGAGCTTTTCAAAGTCAGTCAAATAGAAGTGAAACAGCAACATGAAGTGTATTCCTCTAGTCTTCAACCAACCCCACAGACTAAAGAGCATTGTGAATGTCATTTCTTAGATACTGCAGCTCAAAGTGCCAACAACATTTCTACTCTGCATGGAAACTGTCAGATGAGTGGATTTAGTATTGAGCTGAATGAGCCGTTTCCTCCAATCAGAGCTGTGTGTGTTTGTCATGTGACTGAGAGGAATGATGGGAAATAATGTGTGATATCTCCCAGCAGGTTGCTGTGTCTGTGTGAAGGTGTGGGCTCTGCTATGAATCAGTGTGAGGACAGAGAGGAGGGAGTCCCTCCCTCTAAAAGCACTCTGTGTGGGGAACATGACACAAGGACCAAAGCTCAGAGGTGAGATGAGGATCTCTAACTGTCCATGACTCTTCTCCATGTCACAAAGGCTTTGATTCTCCATTTGAAACAAAGACATTTATCTGAGCTAAAGTACGTAGTTGTCAGTATTCAAACAGGGCTGGACAATCTGATCTCAAATCAGTATCAGGAGAAACATTCAGCTTCATAATGAGAAATGTAACAGTAACATGTGTTTGAATCAATCAGAGCAGATTTCCTTCCTCATGTTGCTCACTGCTGATGTTTGTCCTGATTCATTCCAGTCTGACCAGTTCCACATTCTGCTCTTCTGGACTGGACTGGGAGCTGATTGCTCGCTGGTTAGATGTTGTAGCTGCTCTCACTTTAATTATATGGAATTCAGACAGTGTGTTGAAGTGTGTGACATCAGTAAATTGTGTTCAGTAACACGTCCATAATGTCAGTAATTGAAGACATTGTTCTTATTGTCCAGCCCTGTATTCAAACATTTCAAATTATACATCATTTCACAAAGTCTTTGATTCAGTGACAATGTTTCTGAATATGTGAGCTTTAATGAATTTCTTTCTATCAGGATCCATCAGAGACCAGACTGTCCTGAACCTGAACCCAGCTGTGTGTCCATGAACAGTGACTGTTCTGTTGGTCGTATTATAAACTTCAAAGACTCTGTTGATCAAAAGTTGAGGATTTTAAACTGATGGTAAATCAGTTGTGAAATCTCTATTTTTAAATGTTTAAAATGTCTTTTGGTTTGTGTCTGATCAGCTCAATTTACAACAGCCTCACTTTCACAGTGAACAAATAGTTGCAGCAGTTTATAGAAACTCACTGCTTTGACACCACGTCTGTTCCTCTTTTTATCCTAATTGGACCGATATGGTCACTCCACTCCATCATTTCCTCGCCTATACTGCACACTGCACTGAATACAGCTTTAAATTAAATCTGCTAGCAGTGATGGACAGGCCTTTGCGTCATGCTCCAGTGTATCACTCAAATTTCACAGAAATCACATAATGATCGCCATATAAATGGTGAATGGACTGTACATGTGTAGCGCCTTTCTAGTCTTCTGACCACAATGAGTACGACTGAATGTTTGCATGTAGATGTGTTCAGGGTGGGACTCTTGTCAAACGTGCATTGGGTTAGGGTTAAACTTTTAACTCTTTATATAACACTAGCTGTGTTTAACTTTATATATCCTATGGATACAATGACTTTTTACGGACAACATAGAGGTGTACATCTTGTTTATTCAAGGAAGAAGCTGCTTTCACTCCAAACAATGGGACGTGCCGGCATTTTCCACCCCATACCTGAGGAGCTGAGGAGGAGGTGCCGAGGCTGCAGGGCCGGAGTGAAGGTGAAGGCTAGGCTAGCGGCTAGTTATGGGGAATGTGAACTGTCTGACCATCAAGGCGGACGAGCTGGCTGCCCTTGTGAGAACGGACAGGACGTTCAGGGAGTGCAGCTTATTTGCCTCTCTGAAACCTGGCTAACTCAGAACACCCTGGACGCTAATGTGGATCTACCTGGATTCACTACAGTGAGAGCGAATCAGGGACTGTGGACGCAGCGGCAAGAGCCAAGGAGGGGGACTCGCACTGTTTATCAACAACAGATGGTGCAACCAGGGGCATGTTACGGTGAAGGAGATTGTGTGCAACAGAGACATCGAGTTGTTGGCGGTAGGTCTCAGACCGTACTACATGCCTAGAGAGTTCTCCCACGCCATTGCTGTTGGTGTTTACGTCCCTCCGCGTGCGCACGCAGAGACCGTGTGTGACGTAATCCACTCCACCATCGCAAGACTGCAAACTCAACATCCAGACGCATTCGTCGCCATCTCCAGGGATTTCAACCATGTGACACTGGACTCCACCCTGCCAGACTTTCACCAGTTTGTAAGCTGCCCCACTAGGAAGAACAGGATATTTAGTGCAGCAGATGAATGGCATATTTCAAGAGAATCGTTCAAATTGGTATACAAGCATGAAATTTGGCACAGATACTCTCTGAGGGTCACTTTTTGGGAAAAAGGCGTTGGCCACCCAAAAATTCAACATGACGGCCATTTTTTCAAGATGGCCGCTATTTCTGTCAAATGCTCATGTCAATTGTTCAAACAGTGATGTAGGCATAACATTTTGTGAAAATACTCTGTTAAGAATGTTTTTTTGATTGTCCCTCAAATTCAAGATGGCAACAATTTTTCAAGATGGCCGCCATTTCTCTTGAATCCTTACATCAATTTTTCAAATGATGATGCTATCATCAAATTTGGTACAAATATTCTTCAAGGAACATTCTCATGAAAAAAGGTGTGTGCCACTCAATAATTCAAGATGGCGACCATTTTCAAGATGGCCACCATTTTTGTCAGAGCTCAATTTAATGTGTTATGGAACGTCATTACACAACCAGGGCACACCGGTGACTTCACTGCTGTGGAACTCAGCATGGGGTTCAGTGTCAGCTGATCTAGTTTTACTTACACTGTAGTTCAATCCAATCCACTTATTTATATAGCACGATTTTAACAAACAAGGTTTCCAAAGTGCTGCACAAAAAGATTCAATGTTCAATTCACTGTTATTTGTATAGCGCCAATTCATAACAGCTTTACAAATAGAGCAGGTCTAGACCAAACTCCTTATAACATTATTTACAGAGACCCAACAGTACCACCATGAGCAAGCACTTGGAGACAAGGGCAAGGAAACACTGCCTGTTAAAAGGCAGAAACCTAGGACAGATCCTCCGGCTCTAGGTGGGTGGTCGTCTGTCTCGACCAGTTGGGGAGACCGACCAACCAACCGACGGCAGGAGGCTCCACCAGGATCCATGAGAACCTGCAAGACGAGAAAGCACAAGAACTCCGGGGAAGAAGTTAGTAACATGCATTAATGGAACATGAATGAGTGCAGAAAGAGAGAGGAAGAGATTAACAGAGTAAATAGATCACACAATAGAAAGATGAAGTACACATTAGAAAAATAAAAGCAATAAAATAAGTAAAATAAATAAAATAAAATGCACTGCCTGCACACGATAAAATATGCATGTATACACATAAAATCAACGCTCTACATGGTGTCAAAAGCCAAAGAAAAAAGGTGGGTTTTAAGAAGAGTTTTATTATTATTTTAAAATGAGACAGAGAGGAGGCCTGTCTAATGTGCAGCGGCAATCCATTCCAAAGTTTAGGAGCTGCCACGGCAAACGCTCGATCCCCTCTGAGCTTAAGCCTAGCTTTAGGTACTGTCAGGAGCAGCTGGTCAGCTGACCTTAGAGATCGCCTGGGAGTGTAGGGGTGCAGCAGCTCAGAGAGGTAAGATGGGGCAAGGCCATTCAAGGCTTTAAAAGCAAATAAAAGAATTTTAAAATGAATCCTAAAATGGACGGGCAGCCAGTGGAGTGCAGCTAAAATAGGTGAAATGTGGTCACTTTCTTGAGCCAGTTAAGAGACGTGCAGCAGCATTTTGAACCAGTTGGAGACGAGCAATGGAGGACCCACTAGCCCCCATGTAAAGTGCATTACAGGAATCCAGCCGAGTGGTCACAAAGGCGTGGATTACTGTCTCAAAGTGCTGTCTCTGAAGGACTGGTTTGATCTTTGCCAGCTGCCTTAACTGGAAAAAGCTAGACTTCACCACAGCTTTAATCTGGCTGTCAAATTTAAGGTTGGCTTGCGATACTGTGCCAAAGAACCCAGATCAACTTGGGGGGGGGAGGGGGGGTCACAGAAGTGCAACCAGAGACCATGACGTCTGTCTTTTCTTCATTAAAATTCAGAAAATTTAAAGACATCCAAGCTTTAAGGTTGTGTAAACACTTTAGCAGTGGGTCAACAGAGTAGGAATCAGACTTTTTGAGGGGGACATATATCTGGCTGTCATCTGCGTAGCAGTCAAAGAAATGCCATGTTTCCTGAGAATGGAACCAAGTGGAAGTAGATAGAGAGAAAATAAAAGAGGGCCAAGCACAGAGCCCTGTGGGACCCCACATGAGAGGGGCAGTGGAGGACACAGAGTCACCAAGGCTGACACAGAAAGTTTAATCAGCCAAGTACGACCTGAACCACTCCAGTGCTATGCCCCTGATGCCCACCCACTGCTTCAAACGTGAGTCAAATGCAGCAGTTAAATCTAAAAGCACAAGGATAACACAGTCACCAGAGTCAGTAGCTAAAAAGATGTCATTAAAAACTCTTAAAAGAGCTGATTCTGTGATGTGCAGGGTTTTAAAACCAGATTGGAAAACCTCTAGGATATTATGTTCTTCCAGAAAAGCCATTAATTGACTGTGCACAATCTTCTCCAGGATTTTTGAAAGGAAAGGCAGTTTGGAGATAGGCCTGAAATTAGCAAGAACTGCAGGATCTAGAGTAGGTTTTTTAATCAGAGGTTGTACTACTGCATGTTTAAAGGGACCACACCTGAGGTGAGACTGCTATTTATGACTGCAATAACAGATGGTCCTACAGTGGGGAAAACCTCCTTAAATAGTTGAGGGGGGACAGCATCATTTGGAGAACCTGAGGGCTTCAAATGACCAACAACCTCCTGTAAAAAGGAAAAAGTCACAGGCTCAAAATGGTCAAAGACAGCAGAGCAGGGGACAGAGATTGAGGGGTCATAAGCTGAAGGTGAAATTTGAGCCCTAATTGAAGTGACCTTATCAATAAAAAAGTGAAGGACGTTTTCACAAACAGCAGGGGACGCCTCCATACAGGCACCCTGCGGAGCATTCAGAAGTGAGTCAATAGTGTTAAACAAAACACGAGGCTTGTGACAGTTTGACAGGAAAATATCCGAGAAATGTTTTCTTTTAGCATCTTTCACAGTTTTCTGATAATGACGCCAGCAGTCCCTTAACATTTGAAAAGACACCTGCAGTTTGTCCTTCTTCCACTTGCGCTCAGCTCTGCGGCACTCACGTCTGACAGCATGAGTCGTGTCATTTAGCCAGGGCTCAGATTTAGTTTTAGGGCTGCCTGGATTTTAATG